TTCCTCCCCCCCCCCATGCAGCCGTTCAGCCTTTCGGCTCCATCTCCCCCTCTCTGGCCCACTGGGGCTGGGAGAGGCGGAGGGGAGGAGGGGGGGGGTGTTCTGGCTCCTCGCCTCCCCCAGGGCCAGGCTAGAGACGCACTTTCACTTTTACTGCCTTTTAACAAGCTTGTGTTCCTCTGAGCTTTGTGTTTAATAAAGGTTTCTACTGACTCTGGGCTCCGGTGCAGGGCTGCGCTTGGGCAGCTGGGGGCATTTGGGGTGATTGGGGACTCCAACCTGAGAAACCAAGGAGGGGGGATGGGTTATTTTGGGGGTTTGGTTTGGTTTGTTTTTTTTCCACTTTGAACTTAAAATGCACCAGCAGGTATGTCACTGCCTGGGGTTGCAGGAAGTGCTTTGGTCCTTGGGTTTGTGGTATTTTTTCCCTCCCTGCGACTCCACGCAATGCCATGCGTGGGACGGGAGCTGGGGCTGATCCTGCCACCCTCTGCTCCTCCAAAGAGGCTGTGCCCGGGGGAGATGGGGCCATGAGTCTGGATGGGGATCATGTCTCCTTTCGGCAGCCCCTGTCCCCACTTGGCTCCTGTCTTGCCTGGCCCCGTCTCCTGCCTCCCCCCTGGTTTTGGGGCAGCGTTTGCGTGGGGCTGATGTGAAACCAAGTCCATGCATCCACCACACCGACAAGCTCCCACTGACTTCCCAGCTCCCCCGTTCACCCCAGCACCTCTTGGTTCTGCCTGAAAGCAGCCGCCAGCACCAGTTCGTGGCCCAAAGTTCAAGGCTCCCCCATGTCCTTGCTCGCTGGGGATGAGCTGGCTGCAAGCTGCAGCCTTCACCCTGCGTGTCCCAGCCCTCTCTGCGGCACACCGTCCCCTTCCCGGGGAGCGAGGGACACTGGGGACCCCCTGAGCAGGGATGCTTGGAGACTCCAGAGATGCCCTGGCAGCCTGGAGCAGGCCCGGGGGGTGTGATGGCCCCCAGCCAGTGGCAGGCAGGGACGTGCCACTTCCTTCCCGTGTTTGTGCGCTCGCTCCCCTCCTCTTTCTGCCCGGCCTCCTGCCTGTTTCTTCTTTAAACAGCCTGATAAATATTTCACCCCGGACCGCGTTGCATAAGCTCACCCTGGTTCCTGCGCCAGCGTTGGCAGGGAATGGCAGCCAGGGTTCAGGTCAGGCTGCCTATGGGTGGTGAGGTGACACAGCGAGCCCGTCACCATCACCCAGCCTCCCACCTCCATCCTCCTGCCTCCATCCTCCTGTCTCCATCCCCGCACCCCAGCGCGGTCCCCAGCTGGTTGTGCTGCTGCAGGGTTGTTCTCGCTGCAGGACGCGCCTGGATAGCGGCGTGCCGGTGCAGGGTGGCAAACCCCACGGCTCAGTCCCATCCCTGGTGCCAGCTCCCCGCACCGTCCCTGCTCCCAGCTCTCCTCCCCGCAGCCCCCGGGGACCAGCCAGGGCTCAGGAGCGGGGCTCTGGCGAAGAGGGGAGCGTGCTGTGCTGTCCCAAAACCCAGCGGCCAGGGGGGCAACGACACACACAGCCTGTCTGGTCCCTCTGCTTGAGTGAGATGAGCCGGTGGCTCAGTCACACTGTCACCCCACCAAATGGGGCTTTTTCAGGCAATTAAACTGAAAGAGCTCTCCTGCCACTCCGGTCCGTGGGACTCCTGCCCCACAGATCCGGGGGCAGGAGAATGGGGAAAGCAGAGTGAGTGGGCATGGCCCCTGGTCCCCTGCCTGCTGCATCCCTTACAAGGTCGATGTTTGTCACCTGCGGTGACAGAGGTGCTGAAGCTTTCACGATTTATTGCGGGGCGCCCAGCCCAGCCACGCGCCAATGCATCCTCACCCCTGCGCTTAGCAAGATCCGGCCCTCCTTCTCCTCTCCCCCTTTCGGTTTTGTTTTCGTGGAGGGTGATGGCAACATGCGGTGCTGCCCAAAGCGGTGAGACCCCAGTGAAGGAAAGCGGCCGTTGGCTTTCACTGGAAACAGCGGGCACAGAGAGAGAGGAGAGGACTCATGCCAACATCCTGAGCTCGCTCCCACGAGTGAGCTAACCCCCATTGGCAGCACAGCTGTTCCCTTTTCCCCCGAGGAAAGGAGAATCTCTCTGATGGAATTTGCCATCACATTCCCCTAATAGGGAACCTCCTGGGATGATGAGCCCTTGGGACTCCCAATCCTCACAAAAGCAGCCCCCCCCC